GAGCTTCAGTGGTATCCAGGAGGCGTTACCTCTTGGTTGTTGGTTTTGTTTTTTTGTTTGGTACCTTGGATTGAGCCCAGGGTGCTTAACCACTGAGCCACATTCCAGCCCTTTTATTATTTTATTTTGAGACAGGGCCTCACTAAGTTGCCAAGGCTGGCCTCAAACATGCAATCCTCCTGCCTCAGCCTCCTGAGACACAGAGATGACAGGCGTGCACAACTGTACCCAGCCACCTCTTTTTTTAAAAAAAGGAAGCAAAATTTTGCAGGATCTTGTTGGTAAGGCGCAAGAGTGTTGGTGTGACTCTCAGGAGGCCTGAAAAGTCTCATAACTGTAAACTCAGAGACTACGTGATCTAGCAGGGCGTGGTGGTGCTTGCCTGTAGTCCCAGCCACCTGGGAGGCTGAGGCAGAATGGCAGGGGCCCAGGAGTGCCATGCCAGCCCGCAGCACAATGAGACCCCCTTTCAATCAGTCAACATCCCACAGCAAACACAAACTTGTCCACACACAGTTCCTCCTTGCTTCCCCCAGGCCACTTGCCACAGGAAGGAGAGTGATCTAAAATACAAACTGGGTCAGTGCCTCTGGCCTGACACCCTCAGGGGCATCTGGATGCTCTTAACAGGCCATGGCGACCTTGCTGGCCCCCAACGGCCCCCTCTCTTGATCCCCATCTGCCCTCCCCAGTGATCTAGCCATGATGTGCTCCAGGACCCTCTTGCTGAACGATCACTTCATTCATTGATTTGTTGGTGCCTTCAGGAGACAGGCAGCTCCCTGACACTGGGCCAGGTGTGACAAGGACCCAGGGCACAAAGGTGCACAGGACCAAGAAAGTTCCGTCAACCAGGGAGAAGGCCACCATAAACAAGGTCTAGATCATTATCGACTGGGGCAGGTACAGTGAAGGAGAAGCCAGGGTCACGGGCAGGAGCAGGGCAGGCCGCGGCTAGCAGGCCTTCCAGGCAAGCCACCAAATTCCAGATGTGCAGTTCAGATCTCAGGTGGGCGGCCCTCCCCACAAAGCCTTTCCCACCCTCCTCAGCAGGGCTGTTGACTATTGCTGACACTAACAAACAGCCAGTCCCTTTTCTAACTCTTAGGTAATTAGAATTAAACAAAAATCTGGTTTCTGCTTGGACTGGCTGTCCCTCCCTACAATGGCAGTGGCCACTTGGCCAGAATGTGTTAAAAGGCAGAGAGCAAGACCCAGGCTAAGCGATTTTTAACCAGCTTCTAAGTGCCATAACCCTGATCAGAGCAAAATTCAGGCGCAGTTTACCCAGATAAGAAGTCCTTGTACTGCAGTTATATTTAAGAAATAAGATTTTTCACTTCATGACGAACCTTTAATATTGAAAATGCGAATGAGAATACTAGAAAACTTAAGGACATGGGACACTGTTTAGGGGAAACATTTTATTTTATTTTTGATACTAGGGATCTAACCCAGGGGTGCTTAACCGCTGAGCCACACCCCAGCCTTTTTTATGTGTTATTTAGAAACAGGGTCTTGCTAAATTACTTAGGGCCTTGCTAAGTTGTTGAGGCTGGTTTTGAACTCATTATCCTCCTGCCTTGGCCTCCTGAGCCCCTGAGATTTCAGGCGTGCACCACTGCACACAACTAGTATCACCATTTGAAAAGAAAATTAGCTCAAAATCATAAAAAACTAGATAACAAATTTAAAACTCCAATGTACACAAGGCCAGCAGCCAACCGGCTTGGTGTCTGGGCCAGAGGAGGCTGCAGTGGGCAGGAAGCAGGGGAGTCTGGTAGCCCTGGGTTTGGGACGTCAACAGATTTTTAGCGCTGAATTCTGCAACATCACCCAGGAAGGGGGCGATACTCTAATGGTGAAAGTTAAAGTGTCATTTTAACCAAGATCTGCTGCCTGTCCTATTTGAAAATATTACTGGGCCAGGCACCGTGGGGCACACCTGTAATCCCAGTGACTTGGGAGGCTAAGGCAGGAGGATTGTAAGCCAGTTCAAAGCCAGCCTCAGCAACTTAGTGAGACTCTGTGTCTCAATAAAATATAAAAGGGACTGGGAATGTGGCTCAGTGGCTGAGCACCCCTGGGTTCAATCCCCAGTACAAAAAAATTATTGGAAGTTCTGGTTTAGGCTGAGGGCTCTGTTTTTCAACCCCAACTCCTATCACCCTCTTCCCCTTTTGTCTGCTTTGCCCTCTGGTGATGAGAGCCTGGGAGCCCAGCTTCGGGGTGATTTCACAAGAGTTGTGGTCTCCCAACACTCCTGGGTCCCCAATATTGCTGCCGTGTGGCCCTGGGGGAGTGGCTGAAGTCTTCAGCTCCCAGCTCTGTCTGGGCCCAAGTCCAGGAAGTGGGGAGGCTCAGTCTAGGGAAGAGAGGAATGTCCTGAGAGTGCAGTTCTGCCCCAGAGGTCACCTCCTCCCCAGGCTCTCCTAGAATTCCAACACATCAGGGATAGGCTCTGAGTCCCTGCAGCTCTAGGGGGCCTCTTGTGGAGCAGGGGCTTTGGAGAAGAGCCATGAAAGGAGAAGGAAGTACACACCATTTTTTTTTTTTTGGTACTGGGGATTGAACCCCCGGGGTGCTTAACCACTGAGCCACATCCCTGCCCTCCTCCCTTTTATTTAGAGATAGTGCCCTTGATAAGCTGCTGACACTGGCTCTGGACTTTCGATCTCCTGCCTCTACCTCCCTAAACACCATTTTCTGCAGACTGAAAGTGTGTTATGTGGTAGGAAGAGAACGTGTGACAGTTGATTTATAAGGGAAATATGAATATTGCTACATGGGAACCATCCCAAGGACAAGCCACAAAGAGGAATTTTAAGCAATGTTTACATTTAAGAAAAATGTGTATTCCCCCCCCACCCCAGAATGGCGAATGGCGACTTTAAAGCCATCCAAGACAGCTCCGTCAGTTGAAAGGGGAATATTCGGGAGAGAGTCTTCATCAAGCCTTATTCTTTTTTTTTTTTTTTTTAATTTTTTTAGTTGTTGAGTGACCTTTATTTATTTACTTATATGTGGTGCTGAGGATCAAACCCAGTGCCTCGCCTGTGCCAGGTGAGCGCTCCACCGCTGAGCCACAACCCCAGCCTCAAGCTTTATTCTCTAATCATAAAAAAGAAAAAACAGTTGGGGCTGGGGACATAGCACAGTTGGTAGAGCGCTTGCCTCACAGGCACAAGGCCTTGGGTTCAGTCCCCAGAAACAAGCTGAGAGTCCTGGATCTAGAGACCTGAATGATTACTGTCATTAAAAAAATGCTCCAGAATGTGAGTCATTTGAGGTGTCTGCCCAACTGGCAAAAATGTGAACAGAATGAAGAAGCACATTGTTCCCCCACACCTGGGAGGACACAAAGGGAAGCTGTGCCCACCTCTTGCCAGGCTGTGCCTGCTGCATATAGAGGAGCAGACAGGGTCCAGGGTCTGTGGCCAGTCTTCCAGGAGCCACACAGCTTGGAAAGATGAAGCACTGATTTAGGCGTGAAAACGTATGACAGCAGCCATGTTCTCTCCAATACACTCTAGAATAAACGGACATTTCTTGGCAGGGGTAGGGGGAGAAAACTCAAAAAAAGGGGTAAAAATAGAAAAAGATCTGCAGTACAGATTCTGGAACCCATTATTATTTGAATGACTAATCAGCTGTCTGTGAGAGAAGGTCAGCTACCTCTATACATGAGAATTCTGAGGATGGGGATGTGATCTGTCCTCTCTGGTCAAAGCGACCCAGTTCTTCCCTGTAGATCTAGTTTATGGAAACATAGTTCTCATTGATCACTAAGGACACTGAACATTCAGGGCTCTCCAGGCCTGTGCTAAGCACTGCGCCTCAACAGGTCCCAATCCTTGCTTCAATTCAGAAACTAACATTCCCTCATTTTCACAGGTGTGAACCCAGGGTCGCAGGTATGCTGGGCAAGTGCTCTCTTATGGAGTCACTCCTAGGACAACTAGTACTAATTTTTATCAGGAAATTACGACGCAGCCAGGTGACTCGGGAGGTTGTGGCAGGAAGATCCCAAGTTCGAGCCAAGTTCGAGGCCAGTCTCAGCAAATTAGCAAGAGCCTCAGAAATTTGGAGACACTTTTTCAAAATAAAAGGACTGGAGATGTAGCTCAGTGGTAGGGTGTCCCAGGGTTCAATCTCCAGGGCCTCCCTCTCTGCAAAAAAAAAAAGACAAAAATCACATACAACATGCTAAGTGCAATAAAACAGAATTTTACACCAAGAGCTTTGGCGCCGTGGTGGGGAATGAATGCTGGCTCCAACACTTACAGCCCAAATGACAATGGACAAATTAACTACTGCCAATCTGGATGCTGGTCTGCCAGCTGGGCATAACACGAGCACCCACCCAGCATGTACGGCACAGCAAGGGCGCAGTGACAGTCACTTTCATCATCGTTCATTATCGTTCCTGTGACATTTGAGCTACGGTAGAAATCAACCCCGAAGAACTGTGCATGCGAAGCGTCCGCTTCTCGGGAGTGACCGCCGAGCCCTCTGCGGGGCAGTCTCCCGCTGCGGACAGGCGGTGCGGGCTCCCACCTCGCGGCCGGGCGGGAACCGCGGAGAACCAGCGTCCGGCGCAAACGCAGCCGCGGCGCAGACGCCACCTCCGGGAGCTGCCCGCGGCCGCGCTCCCGCCTCCCGGCGCCGGACGCCCGCGCCCTCCCGTCCGCGTGCCGGGCGGCGGTCGGGCAGCGCCGCCCACAGGGCGTCGCAGGCGCTGGGAAGACGCTCTGGGCCCGCGGCGGGGCGTCTCGCGCCTAGTCACGCGGTTGTCAGTTCGCGGAGCGACCTGCCTTCCCTGAAGGCGGCGCGGGCGGAGCTTGGCATCCGGGGCTCAGCATCCGGGGCTCCCGGGCAGGCGCCGGGTCTCCCATCGCAACTACGGCCTCTAGCGGTCGGCGCGCCGGCGGGCCTGAGCCGTCTGCGCAGGCGCGGAGACAGTGGCGCCCGCATCCCCTGGGGAAGGGGGTGGGCGTGCGTGGTGACGTCAGGAGACGGGGTCTCGGGCGGCGCGAAGTGGAGGCGCGAGAATGGAGGCGCAGCCTGGCGGCAGTGGCGCAGCAGACCGCGGGGCCGAGGACTCTGCGCCTGGCCCCAGCAAGGCCTCTGGCGGCTCCGGCCACTACGAGCTGCCGTGGTGAGGGCCCAGGGCGTAGATAATGGGCTCATATGGACGTGAGGATGGGCGAAGAGCGGGCCGTGCCCCGGGGGAACACGATGGGGGACCCGGGCTGGTCCTGGGGACCCTTGGAGAGCCGGAGGGCCGGGGGGCGGCGAAGGGATTGTGGTTTGCAGAAGGCGAGGGACACGGGTCTCCGAGCCCACTCGGGGTCTGCAGTGGCCGGTCCTGCACAGCAGTGCTAAGGACAGTCAGGACTACCCGGGTGATCACCCACTTTTTTGTTTTCTTAGTCGCAGTTTGTTTGTTTTTGTTTTAATATTGGTTGCATGTTGACAACGAGGGTACTCTGATTGCGTATTAGGGTCGGTTAATGGTACTGTGAAAGTTAGCTTTACCCATCTTCTTTCTACCTGTTAATACGGCCACCAGAAAACTTTACACACACGGCCCACGTTCTGTTCCTCTTGCACAGCGCTGTCCAGATGCCTGAGAGACTCGGGAAGGGCACATCCACTGCTGTCAAGGAGCTCACAGTTGACAGAGAGGCAAAGCGAATAGACAGACAAGGGCAGGCTGGGGGTGCAGCTCACCTTCACTGGCTGGGTCAGGCCCTGGGTTCAGTCCCAAGCACCGATAAATAAATAAACCAATAAACAGACCAGTAAATGCACTGTGTGTTTGATAAGACAGGTGCTCCGAGGGAGAAATCAGTAGCTCTGGTGGTCAGGAAGGCCTCTGATGAGGCTCTGACAGGTGAACAGGTTGTGTGCTGGAGGAGCTTCCAGCAGGGGCAGCCTGCAGAAAAGTGGACTTGCCCTTCAGGGAACAGGTCCAGGTCTGCTCCTGATGCACCCAGGACTAATTCTCTCCCTCCTCTGGGACTCCACAGCCCTTGGTTTATGTAACCAGACTGGCACTGTAGTGGGCTCTGCTAAGCTCTGTCTCCCTGCTGGTGGTGAAGTCTTGGGGGCAGGAACATGTCCTGCTCATCCCTGTGTCTTCTGCTTTCCTCTTGTTGAGCCCCTACCTAACTCCTTCACAGTGCTTGGCCCCTGGAAGAGGCGGAGTCTAGAGAATGAGTGGGTGGGAGCAGGTGCTCTCCTGCTAGCCTCTGAGAATAGCTGTCTCTGGAGCTGGAGTAGACCCTCCTTACCTGTACAGGGTGCAACACAAACCAGGGAGTTTAGTAATGGGCAGGCTGGGGTGTAGCTTGGTGGTAGGGTGCTTGGGGAGCCCGAATAAGGGCCTGCACTTGATCACCAGCACCTCATTAAAAAACAACAAACAAAAAATATACAATGCAAAGGAGGGGTCCTGATGGTTAAATTGTTACAAATACACTGCCACACCTATGCTCAGAGCTGGGGCAAGGCATTTTCTTTCCGCACATGGTTTGCTTGTTTATTTCTTGTGGTTCCCAGGGGTCCTCTACCACAGAGCTCTAGCCCCAGCCCTTTCTTATTTTTATTTTGAGATAGGGTCTCACACAGTTGCTCAGGCTGGCCTTGAACTTGCCATCCTCCTGCATCAGCCTCCTGAGTCGCTGGGATTACAGGTGTGGGCCATTCAGCCCTGGCATAGCTTCTTATTTAAAAGGCCAGTGGTGTGAGTAGGCCACTTTCCTGTCCACTTCACAGGCTCATGGGATGACAGGGTGGCCTTGGTTTCCATCTAGCCGTCATGGCTGTGTGTATGGCACCTACCTGTGGAAACTGGCAGGTAAGGGATGAGAGAGTTCCAGGTGCGCCACATCTGTCAGACCTGACGATGTCGGGCTGCATGTGCAAACCGTGTCACCTTGCACTGTCACATTGCTCCATGTAGTCGGTGCTGGCCCCTGTCCAGCTGTAGCGTGTTTCTCTGCCTTGATGGGCGTCGGCTGTGGTGGACGGACCATCTTCATGCACTTCACTTTTCAAACGAAACTTGGACACCTCACTAAATGAAACTTGTGTCCATTGGCTCTGGTTATTTCTTTGGTAGTGGTGATTGGCCCAGGGTGCTCTACCACTGAGCTACATCATCAGCCCTTTTTCATTTTTGAGACAGGTTCTTGCTCAGTTGTTAAGGTTCTTGCTAAATTGTTGAGGCAGGGATTGAATTTGTGATCCTCCTGCCTTAGCCTCCAGAGTTGCTGGGATTATAGGCATGTACCATGTTGCCTGTTCCTTTTAATGATTTCTTTTGGGTTGCATGAAGATAACCTTGTCGGTATTTTTATACATTTTCTTGAAAACAGGGTTGAAAAATACAGGCCAATAAAGCTGAATGAAATTGTTGGGAATGAAGACACTGTGAGCCGGCTAGAGGTGAGTGGCTTTTAAAAAATGCTGTCTTTTGATGTCCTTCTTTGACAAGCTCAAAACATTTAGAGGAAGACGGTCAACTCAGTGAGGGAAAAGTAGACCAGGAATCCAGAAGAATCAAGGGATAGAAGACATTCAATCTGAGGGACACTGGAAGCTCTGGTGGCAACCATCAGTGGTTTTAAAGGACTGGCTTTTTAGAAGTTTCAGACTTGATCTTATCCATCTCTAGCAGAAGAGCCAAACTTTTTCTATAATGCCAGATAATATCTTTAGCATTGAGTCCCCAGCACCCTCGTAACAAAACAAAACGAAATAACAATGCTTTAAAAATGTGAAAACCAGGGCTGGGACTGGGGCTCAGTGGTAGAGCGCTTGCCTAGCAGGCGTGAGGCACTGGGTTTGATTCTCAGCACCACATACCAATAAATTAAGGTCCCTTGACAACTAAAAAAAATATTTTTAAAAAAATGTGAAAACCATTCTTAGCCAGGAGACTTACAAAAACAGACTTCGTGGAGGATTTGTCCACCCTCACCCCCAACTGGCTATCCTTTGCCAGCCCCCTGCCTGGAGGAGCTAGATGGCTAAGTGACAAGGCAGCCTCCTTCAGGACGACACGAGGAAGAACATGCAGAACCATTTGGCCGTAGAGCAGGCTTTGAATTCTCAGCCTTGGAGGTCTTTCCGTGCAATCTAGAAGCCCAGCTGCTTGAGAAATGACAGAGATCGTCTCTACAGTAAGCGGGGGCTTAACTATCAGGTTTATTTTGATTTATTAATTTTACAAATACTTGAAGCCAGGCACAGTGGTGAGTGCCTATAATCCAGCAGCTCTGGAGGCTGAAGATCAAGGCCAGCCTTAGCAACTTAGAAAGGCCCTAAGCAACCTAGCAAGACCCTGTCTTGGAAAATTAAAAAAGGCTGGGGATGTGGCTCAGTGGTGGACTGCTTGCTCAGCATGCGTGAGGCCCTGGGTTCAAGCCCCAGTACTGCAGCTACAATAAAAAACGTTTGGGCTTCAGGCCGAGGGAGCTTAGTGGGGAGCACCTGCTTGGCATGTAGAGGCCCTGGATTCTGTTCCCCAGCACTGAAAAAGAAGGTGAGGACAGGAAGGAGTCACCCCAGGGTTTCAGTTAGGTAAAATTGGGGTTTGAATGGGTTGGTGGGTGGGCTTTGCTATACTGCAGATTGAACCCAGAGCTTGTGCGTGGCAGGCAAGGGTTCTGCCACTGAGCTGCGTTCCCCAGCCTTTATTTTCCTTTGGTCTTAGTTTGAGACGAGACCTCCTTAAATTGCCCTGGTGGTCTCGAATTGGCCATCCTTCTGCCTCAGCTTTGGAGAAGCTGGGATTCCAGGTGTGAGCCAACGCGCTTTGGAAAGCTTTCAGTGGTTGTGTAGTTTAGAAAAATAATTGTACTTACAGCACGAAAAATGAGTTGGCCTGGGGCAGAAGGAGAAGCAGGAGACAGTGACCCTCCTCCAGGAGGGGACAGCGGGGGCCACAGCAGGAGAGGAGCTGGGGCGCAGGAGGGAAGGCAAGCCGCAGAGCTGTGGTGACGGTGCCGTGAGGCCAGGGGCGAGTGTGGCCTCCAAGCCCATCCAGGTCCCATCTGGATGGGCCTGGAGGGCTGGAGAGTCCGTGGGAGAAGAAGCACAGGCTGGGCTTCAAGTTTGTAGGGCTGATGAGTTCCGTTTTGAATGGGCTGAGGTGCAAGTCCCACGAGCCATCCTCCTGGAGAGGTGAGTCACGCGTGTTTCACCACATGGGTCTGTGCGCTGGGAGACTCGGCCCCTGGGCCTACGGGTTAAGTGTTTTTTTTTTTTTTCTTTTTAAATATCTTTATTTTTCTGTGGTGCTAAGGGTCGAGCCCAGTACCTCACAGGTGCAAGGCAGGCGCTCTACCACTGAGCCCCAGCCCCAGCCCTTTTTAGTTTTCATTTTGAGACATGGTCTTGCTAAGTTGCTGAGGCTGACCTCCAACTTGCAGTCCTCCTGCCTTAGTCTCCCAAGCTGATGGGATTACAGGCTTGTGCCACTGTGCCCAGCTTGGATTAGCCAATTCTAATCAGCCTCTTTCCCGCAGGTCTTTGCGAGAGAAGGGAATCTGCCCAATATCATCATTGCGGTGAGTGCCCTGCTCTGGTGCTGCCCACGGAGTGCCTCTGCACTCTGTCCTTCCTCCCCAGAAAGGCCCTGGGCCATTTCGATCCTGTTATGGGGAGGCCTGTGGGTCGCTTGCTGTACTGTGCGGTTGTGTGCCGAGGGTGGGGCAGGGTGGGAGTTGGGGGTGGCAGTGGCCCAGGAGCACCCTGGGGGCCTTCTGGTGGCCTGAAGCTCTGACAGGAGCCCTCATTCCCAGGGTCCCCCGGGAACTGGCAAAACTACCAGCATCCTGTGTCTGGCCCGCGCTCTGCTGGGCCCTGCGCTGAAGGACGCTGTCCTGGAACTCAACGCCTCCAACGACAGGTGGGCCTGGGCTGGGTGTGGGGTGGGGATGGCGGTGGGGTCCGCCTTCGCAGTTCCGGCTGCGCCTCAGCTCGCTGCCCAGCCCTGTGCTTCTGGTGCCCGCCTGTCCAAGTGCCGACTGAGAGTCTTGCTGTTTTCCTTTGTGTTTTGGTGGGAAGTTTTGAAAAATCATTTTAAATTGTGGTGAAGTAGACATAACGCGAAAATGGCCACCGTCACCCTGTGCTCGGTGTGCACCAGGCAGGGCCAAGCATGTCCCCAGGATTGCACTCCCTGCAGGTGGCATCTGGCAGAGCTGGAGCCCTGTGCCAGAACCAGCCTGCTCCCCGCCAAGCCCCGCTGCCTGGCTGCCTGCTAGAGCCCACAGGTCTGAGGAGTGGAGGAGTCGCGCCACCGTCCCTGGTCCCTGCTTGGTCAGGCCATGTGGCCGGAGCACCAGCGAGCTTGCCGCCCTCCTCTTGGCTGGGGAATGCCTGCCCCGCGTGTGTCCTTCCAAGTTGTGTTTATTGTCTCTGAAAAGGACAAGAGCTGCCTCTGTCCTTTGGCAATGGCAAGTGGCGGCTCTGTGACCCTGGGGGACAAGCATCTCTTCAAGTCCCTACCTTTGATTCTATGGGGAAAGGGTTGACACCCAGAGTGGACCTGCCTCGTCCTGTGGCTTGTTTGGTTTTGGTGGTTGAGCGGCCGCCTTGCTCTACCAGGTGGCTGTTCACACCCCCGCCAGCTGTGCACAGGGTCCCCATGTCCCCACGTCCTCACCAACACTGGGTATATCTGTTTAGGGTTTGCTCCGTCCTCTCAATGGCGGGCATCTGTTCCCTTCCTGTCACCTGTAGGGACACACCCGCTGCCAGCTCTCAGTCATCACACACCACACCACACAAGTGCTGGGTGGGAGCATCATAAAGACAGGGAACACTGGCTTAGTCAGCTTTCGTGCTACTGTGACCAAAGATGCCACAAGAATCGTAGGAGAGGGAAAGTCCACCTGGGGCTCTCGAGCCATAGACGGCTGACTCCATCACTCTGGGCCCAGGTGGGGCGGAACATCATGGTGGGCGGGCCCAGGGGAAGAGAGCAGCTCTGGACATGGCTGCCAGGAAGCAGAGAGAGCTCCACCCACCAGGTACAAAATGAGTCCCAAAAGCACGTCCTGCCCCCAGTGAGCCACCTCCTCCAGCCATTCCCCAGCTGCCCACAGTCACCACCCAGCAGATCAGGTCACAGCTCTCTCATCCCCTCCCTCCACCTCTGATCCCTCTAGTGCTGTGTCACTGTTAGCTCCTGGGGGACACCTTGGGTCTAGCCCACAGCCAGCACACTGGTCAGCAGACTGTGAGTGCTGATTCATGGGCGTCCTGAGGACAGAGGAGGACTATCGTATGGGTGAGCAAGATGCGGTGTCCAGGGGGTGGTGTGACCAGGTCCTTCCTGTCCTGTGTCCACAGAGATGGAAAGAGATTTGTTTTTTCTCTTTAGAAATACATTGTTTGGGGCTGGGGACGTTGTTCATGGCTGGGGACAGAGCACTGTTGGTTGAGCGCCTGCCTTGTGTGCACAGGGCCCTGGGTTCAGTCCCCAGCACCACACAAAAAGGAAAAAAGAAACATGCTGTCCAGCCTTGATTGAGTTACTGGAGTCACGGCCTGAGGTGGGGCCACCCGTCAGTGTCACACCAGTGGCATCCCTGGTGCTGCAGCCAGGGTCTGGGCAGCCTTTGGTGATTATCTGACCGTTATGAAAACTGCTCATTTTTCCCTTTGCTGAGGTGAACAAGGCCTCAGTGTGCTGTTCTGGTGGCCAGGGCCTTGCTCACCCGGCACACCCCACCCATGAGCCCAGGCCCGGGCAGTGGCCATGTAAATTCTCAGCCATGGTCCACGAAACCTCCCGGACCGCGAAGATGGCAGTCTAGGGCTGGGTGTGGCTCGGTGGCCTAGGTGGCCTGGTGTGTTTGAACCCTGATTCCGTTCTAGCACCACAGTACAGGCTGTCCCAGCCCCTCCCGCACCGGGAGCAGGCCCTGCGGGGCGAGCACCGCCGGCGTTCTTCCCGGCGGTGTCCTTGGCCGCCCTGGCCTCCTTCAGCACAGTTGGGAATAAGCGATGGAGCAGTCCCTGACATGACGGGTGGCCAGCTGCTGCGCCAGGGCACAGGAGGAGTGAGCACTGAGACCCAAAGGGACCCTCGGCTGTGAAGGGCCCCGGGGTCCCGGTGGTGGTTCAGGATAAAATGAGTTTTATTCTGTCCAAAAGTCAGGACATGGTGGTTTTGGTCCTTGGAAGCCCTGCAGGGGAGAAGAGAAGCCCTGAAATATCAGTCCTCCTGAATCGTGAGAATTAACCCAAAAAGAAATTAAAAAACTAAAATTGAGTCCTGTAGTCCCTGGTGGTTGAGAAGGTTTCAGAGTCCCTGTGAAGGGGACTGAATTTGCCTCAAAAGGTGACTTACAATTCTGGTTTATTGTTCCAGGGGCATCGACGTTGTGAGGAATAAAATCAAGATGTTTGCTCAACAGAAGGTCACCCTTCCCAAAGGCCGGCACAAGATCATCATCCTGGACGAGGCAGACAGGTGTGCACCTGGCCGAGGCTCCTGCTGGGCTTTGTTAGAACAGGAGAAGAATCACCTTTGTGGGGACTGGGGACATACTGCAGTTGGTAGAGCGCCTGCCTCACATGCACGAGGCTCTGGGTTCAACCCCCAGCAGCACACACACAAGAAAGAACCACCTTTGAGGTGGGTTTGCTTACCACATCTTCAGACAGCAGTTGACCAGGGGCCTCAGACCTTGGCTTTGTAGCTAACTTAAAGCCACTGGTCTAAAAGCCGGGCATGGTGACAAACACCTGTGATCCCAACAGCTCAGGAGGCTGAGGCAGGAGGATCTTGAGTTCAAAGCCAGACTCAGCAAAAAGCCAGGTGCTAAGCAACTCAGTGAGACCCAGTCTCTAAATAAAATACAAAACAGGGCTGGGGATGTGGCTTAGTGGTGGAGTACCCCTGAGTTCAATCCCTGGTACCCCCACCCCCCAAAAAATGTCATCATCACCATGCATTATTTCTTTTTCTGCACTTTTATTTTTACTAGTCGAATATCTCTCATTTGTGGGTCCTACATCTTCCTTTTAACGTTATAAGCCATGATCCACACCCTTAGAATCTTTTTTGTTTGTTTGTTTTTAGTACCAGGGATTGAACTCAGTGGCTCTCGACCACTGAGCCACATCCTCAGCTCTGCTTGTGTTTTATTTAAGACAAGGTCTCACTGAGTGGGTTTAGGGCCTCGCCATTGCAGAGACTGGCTTTGAATTTGTGATCCTTCTGCCTCAGCCTCCCAAGCTGCTGGGATGACAGGCGTGTGCCACCGGGTCTTGCCCATCATTATAATCTCATTATGGATGTGTTTTGTTGTCGTTCTGTTTTGTTCTTTTTTTTTTTTTTAATTTTTTTTTTGGTTGTGTTTGACACCATTACCTTTATTTTTTTTATTTCCTTTTACGTGGTGCTGAGGATTGAACCCAGAGCCTCACATGGGCTAGGTGAGTGCTCTACTACTGAGCCACAACCCCAGCCCTTGTTTGTTCTTGTTTTTGAGACAAGGTCTTTCTGTGTTGTCCAGGCTGGCCTCATTTCCTGGGCTCGGTGATCCTCCTGCCTCAGCCTCCTGAGTAGCTGGTACTGTGTATGTGCACCACTGTGCCAGCTGCCAGTTGCAAACAGATTTTTTATTTTTTTTATTTAACTTTTAAATTTGTTTTTAATATTTTTAGTTGTAGCTGGACACAATATTTATTTATTTACTGTCATGCTGAGAGTTGAACCCAGTGCCTCACATATGCTAAGGCAAGCGCTCTACCACGGAGCCACAATCTCAGCCCTATTTTTTATTTTTTGCGGTAGTGGGGGCTGAACCCAGGGCCTCATACATGCTACTGCTGAGCTACACCGCCAGCCCTTTGCATTTTATTTTGAGACAGAGTCTCACTAAGCTGCCCAGGCTAGCCTTGAACTTATGATCCTCCTGCCTCAGCTTCCTGAATAGCTAGGATTTCAGGCATGAGCCACCACGTCCAGCCATGGTTTTGAATCGTCATGTCATATTCTATGGTGTGGATAGATGCTAACCATTTCACTGTCTAGAGTACTAATGACAGATAACACCTATTAACACTTGGGTGTTAATTTACATTACGCTGGGCGCTTGCTAATCACTGCACACAGCAGTATCTCATTTAATTGACAACCTCTGAAGTAGGCAGCCTCATTATCTCCGACCTGTAAGTGGTAACACTGAGGCTGGGAAGATCTGCCTGAGTCCCAGGTCCAGCAAGTGATGGACGCAGGGCCTCTGCACTGAGGCCTGTGTGTAGCCTGCCCTCCTGAGGCCCAGACAGATCCTGGGCAGGCATGGCGGCAGCAGCCCTGGAGACAGTGGCCTCATGCGTTCACCAGGGCGCTATTTCTGGTGCTGCAGGCGCCGGGTGCCATCTGACCCGGAGAGTGGCTCGTGGGCTTTCCCACTGGGGGGGGTGGCCTGGTGCTGGAGACCCCTGCCCAGGGCTGGGGTGTGTGGTGCATGCTGAACTGTTGTGGGGAGGCTGTGGCCTGGGACCGAGCCCAGGTGTGACTTCCTCCTCGTGTGTCCCCTCCCAGCATGACGGATGGAGCCCAGCAGGCCTTGAGGAGGACCATGGAGATCTACTCCAAGACCACGCGCTTTGCTCTGGCCTGTAACGCCTCCGACAAGATCATAGGTGAGCTGAGCCTGCGTGGCCGGGCCTGCGGCTGGTTCCCTGGGCAGACTCAGGCCCCGGCGTGGGGCGAGCTCTGCCCCGCAGGCTGCACCCCTGCTCTGGCCGGGCTTCAAGCAGCAGAGAGGCCTTCTTGCCCGCCAGGCCCAGCCGCCGTGGGATCTTCACAGCCAGCTCCCCTGGATGTCCTCAGAACTGAGAAGTGACGCGTCCATCACGTACGCGTGACATTTTGAAATGCAGTCAGGCCTTAGGTGGAGCTTACGTGACTCTTTGTGGCGACGCTGTCAGCTTCACTTCCTGTTCTGTGGCCGAGCTGGGGACTGAACGCGGGTCCTCACAGGCCAAGCAGCGCTCTCTGGCCGAGCCACACCCGGCCTTCAGCTTCACTTGATTTATGTATTTTTTGTGGAGCTGGAGATTAAACCTGAGGACTCCAGCATTGGAGGCGAGCACTCTGTCGCGGAGCTGCGCCTCTAGCTCCTTAGCTTCTCTTTGTAGAGGAGAAAGCAGGCTCAGAGGGGCTGAGTAGTTTGCCCAGTCACACAGCACAGAGGAGAGCTGGGGTTGAGCCCCTGCTCCGTCTGCTGCCCTCTCCCGCTTCTGCGTGTGTGCGAGGTATGGGATCAAACCCAGGGTCCCGCGGGTGCTGGACAAGCACTGGGCCACATCCCCTGCCCTTTTTATTTTGAGACAGGGTCTCACTAAGTTGCTTAGGGCCTCTCTACATTGCTGAGGCTGGCCTTGAACTTGAGATCCTCCTGCCTCAGCCTCTCAGCTGCTGGATCGCAGGCGTGTGGCACTGCGCCCAACTTTGCCCTGGATTCTTACACTCGATCCTGTCTCTGACCTCAGCGTCCGCCTGCCCCCTTGCTCAGGGCCTTTCAGTTGCCGCAGCTCCAGTGGGTGACCTCAGCATCTGCCCTGCCCCCTCGCTCCTGGGCCTTTCGCAGTTCACTTCCTCCCCTTTATGCTGCAGGCTTCACGCTCAGCCGGTGTCCTCAGGGCTCTCTTGTCCCTGTACCTGTCTCACTTCTGCCCTGCTGATCCCCAGCCATGGGAACTCGCCTGGCACTCCCTTCTCCACCCAGGCCGTGCGTGCAGCTGCGTCCAAGCCTGCCAGCAGTGCCTGGGATTGGGGCTCTCAGCCCAGGATCAGGGCTCAGAGATGCGGGAGCAGGTCTGAGTGTGGAGGTGTCTCCCTGACGTTGCGGGGACCGGCCTCTGGGGGCAGAACCACCCCTCCGTGCAGCTGCAGCGGCCTGTGCTGCCGAGCTCGCTGGGTGCTGGGCAGCTGCATTGGTGGTTGGGAAAGGCTCTGGCCTCCCCTTCCCGGAGATTGATCTCCGATACATTCGCATTCAGACTGTTTGATCATTGTTTCTTTTTTTTTTTGGTGGTGCTGGGGATGGAGCCCAGGGCCTGAGCCTCTAGGCACTCCTTGTGCGACTGGGCTGCAGCCCCTGCCCCCGTGACTATTTTCATTTTCAAGAGGGGTATACAGACAGACATTTGGGTTTTTGCCTCAGAGGAAATGGTCCATGGTCCGGCTGCTGCAGAGCTTGGGGGGCTGGGGGCGGCACCAGGGATTGGATTCAGGGGGTCTCAACCACAGAGCCACATCCCCAGCCCTATTTTGTATTTTATTTAGAGTCAGGGTCTCACTGAGTTGCTTAGCACCTTGCTGTTGCTGAGGCTGGCTTTGCACTCACGATCCTCCTGTCTCAGCCTCCCAACCCGTGGTGCTTTCTTTAAGGAAGGCCATGCCTGCTTGATTCCTCGTCTTTTTAAAATTTCTGCGAATTAAGCTTATGGTACATCTTAAAAGAAAAATCACACAGAGGGAAGTCCCAGTTAAAAGAGGCTTATTTCTTTTTCTTTATTTTATTTACTTATTTTTACGTGGTGCTGAGGATTGAACCCAGCGTCTCACAAGTGCTAGGCGAGCGCTCTACAGCTCAGCCCCAGCCCCAGCCCCAAAGAGGCTCATCTTAAGAGAGAGAAAGAGCTCTATCAAAGGAAACTTCTAGAGTAGCTTGAATATTAATTGCTTTTTTTT